TCAAAGCACATGCTTCTGGGAACCATGCAGTATGAACATGTTTAAAGGCATATACTCAAAAATTTATAGTAGTTTCACAAATTCTAAGCTACAATTTTATTCCCCGTATTAACTGTCAGAGTTAGCAGAGAGACAAGCTCACAGCTTTCATTTCTAATCTTTGGTTGCAATTGTTCCACCTGTGATCTAGCCCTCTAAGAAATAAAACAACAACGACAACACTTTGAGGTCTCAATCCACTTTACGAAAAGAAAGCTTTATGAAAAGCCTGAACAATGAATTTAAACATTAAGGAGAAAATGAGAAACGTTAGGTGTGTGAAGTAGGAAATGTTAATTTCATGCACTTAGGAACACACACTCACACCCCACAGTAGTAGAAGCAGTAGAAGAGGAAAACACTACATGTGTAGGGGTAGAAATATTTGTTACATCATGATGCTGGCTGGCGATGGAGGGTTGCCGCCTTAGAGCCCCCTGAATGGAACTTCCACTCTGGAAAGCATTCACTACATCCATCTGCAAGGAATCAGAGATTGTGACAGCTTGCTCAGCAAGAGAGAGAGAGAACATGAGAAAGGACCATTCCATCTATCAACATTTAAAAAGTAAAACAGAAAAAGGCACTTTTTAAAGAGCAGATAAATAGGCAAGTTGCATTTTGAGGTGAAGGTGGGGGAGAAAAGCTAGAAAAAAAGGAGCTTAGGGGCATATAGACACATTCTCTGATGATCAGTTTAAACTGTCACTCATTCCAGGCACCAGTATTATTTTTTCAAAAGAATATATTTTGTGGGTTGGGAAGGCTTGAAAAGAAGTCAAGGAGCGCATTCAAACCTCCTCCCCAAGGTCCAAATGCCCTTGGCTCCCGCTCCCATCAGCTCTCCTACCTGTCTCCCAGGCCCATACCTGTGTTTGGATTCTGTTCAGACCTCTAAACCACAGGATCTGGCCACGCCGCAGCTCCCTTTCCGCGTGATCAATCTCCTCTGCGTCCTCCGCTAGCTCCTCTTCGGGTATTTCTTCCTTTTGTGTTCCATGGCCCGCTTCTTTTAAGAATTTTAAACGGCTAGTTGGAATTGTTGAAATAAGCTACAACACAGGGGAAAGAACTTAGAAATAAATCACAATCTAGAACAACTAAACTGATCAATTGTAATAAAAAAGGCATGAGAAGTTGTAAGCTTAGCCAACTATCTTTACCAATGAAGCAATGAGATCCTATCCACCAGTTTCCTTTCTCACAACAAAAAATATTCTTCTCTTAGCTACACACAAAAGATTTAAGTTCAAAGAGTAAAAGGTTCTCCTGAGTGAAAATAAACCGATTCTATTTTCATGTTTTAATTAGGACAGTCAAGACAGCAAATTATACAACCATGCTTTGATACATATATGTATGTGTGTTGATATATATGATTATTGAAACTCATTACTTATATTTATTTCAAATAAAACAAAAATGGCCAGTGGTCTTACTGGACACAAAACAAGTTTGTATGTCATTAGTGCTATAAAGAGTTCAATGAGAAAAACATACAAAAATTCAAAAAATCTTCAAGGTTAAACTGAAAAATAGTTCTTTGTTTATTAAACGTACTTTTTAAAATAAAATGCACGTATTTAAAACTGAATTAACACTGATTGCTAATAACACCAAACAGTAACAGAGGCCTAGGAAACATGAAGGATACAAAAAAATAAAATAAAATATCAATGAATAGGTATTAACTTTTAACTGTTAACAGCCATTCCTTAAGGAAGTTGGGCTTATGGGGGAAATAATCCTCAGTCAGAATCAGAACTGCTTAGACAGCTTCTAATCCTACCTTTCAGAGGTAAAACAGGCTCAGAGACACAAATGGCTTGTTCACGAATGACTAAGAACCTAAGTCTCCTAACTGCCAAGTTCAATGCTCTTTCTCCTGCACCACACTTAAAATCAACAGACAATGTCAACCAAAGATAAGTAACCAAAGATAGATGCCTGTGAGTATGTATGTGTGCTGTACTGCATTTCCTCTTCCTGAAATGAGCCAGGTTTTTGGGGACGTTCTGGGGTTCTGACTTGTCTATGAGGGAACATTATGAAACAACTAGAATGGTAATCAAAAAGAAAAGTAGAATGAGTATGGATCCTACTTAAAAGATCTCTAGTAATGAGGTCTTCCATACAACTAAGAAGAGAAACCTCAGAACCTAGAACACAATTAAGAGAAAGGTGAGGTAAAGGGCATATAAAGACTGAATTAAGTTTAAGTAAAACCTGTATGTTTGGTTTGACTGACTTGCAGAATGACAATAAATCAGCTCACACCAGTTACACACTACAGCATGTGTTCACTGTCATTTATGAAAATGTTAGTATAGACTATCAGTTTTATAGTAATAGTAATGGTTTCGAATGAAGGATGCACACTGTATTACCATTTACCTTAAAAAATCTTTATCAAATGACTCATTCTAATCAGTCTTCACCATTAGTAAAGAATATTTTCTCTAGAGATTTTAAAAGATCTAAAAATGAGGTAAAAAAAGATGATCTTTCTAGAGGTGTTTCAAGTCTAGTATAAGACAAAGTTGAAATGGATTATTATTTCTTTCATTTAGCAAGATAAACACTCCAAATAAGAGTTAAGTCTGACATTCACTTTTTGATATTTCTAAGAGTATTCTATATTGGGGCAGGAACATAGTGAGGAAATTAAAGCTTTCATTAAACATATTAATACTACTAATCCATTCTATATATTGGTTGATGCTCTGTACCACCTAAGATGATGCTTCACCAGCAAGGTTGAAAGAAATTTATGGTAACAGCAATATAATTACTGCAACTTTTAGTATATAATGATATCCTCATGAACAAGACATGCATCAGCCCTCCATACTACCTTATGTTCCCATAACACAGAATATAGAATAAAAAAAAATAAACATTTCAAACCTTAATGAAGCAACAACTACAAACATTCCCCTGGCCACAGAGACACAGCAACTCAGAGGTTTCATTCAGAGTTGTACATCTAAAAAGTGCCTGGGGCAGGTGTGGGTAGCTTTGTCTTAAAATACATTTTGTGATTGATTTTATGTTTACTATAATAAGGCCTGGAATACAATTATACAGAGAAATGCCACCCATATAGTGTAAGGTCATGTGACACCCTCCAAATGAAAATAAGGTTAATTAGTAAATTTTTGCTGAAATAAAAATGAATAGAATGCACTCCACCCATGAGACGAATATGTCTAAAAGGTTTACCATGAAGCTAATTATGAGGGAACAATCAGACGAATTCAGAACAGAGGCCTGGATTCTTCAAAAAGGTCCATGCCATGAAAAATGTCATAAAAAGTTGTAACACATACAGCTGAGGATGCTTTCTTAGATCCAGGATCATAAAAGCTATAAAGGACATTTTGGGGACACCTGGAGAAATCTGAATATGGACTGTGTACTAGATAAAATGGTATTGATGTTAAATTTCTTGGTGTGCAATACAGGATGATTATATAGGAGAATTCTTACTCTTAGGACATACATGCTTAAGTATGCAGAGATGAAATATCATGGAATCCGCCAGTAGTGTTCCCAGGCATAATGCCAGGAGATTTCATAATGCCAATACCATTTCATTGAGGTATGTAGAACCGGGGTAATTTTTAAAAGATTCCTATCTGTCCATGTATGTAAATTAAACATCCTGTCTAACATTACAGGGTCAGTTGTTACTTGAAGCAGTTGTTTGAAAAGAGCAGAACATCATGCTGCCTCTGCTTATTAGCCATGCACAAGTCATTTAAGCTCCCTAGTCAGTGTTTGCACCTATAAAATGGGGATAGTTCCCGCTCTGCCTGTTTTACAACATGGGTAAAAATAACAAATACTTAAACAGTGAACAAACAGTGAGTAAACTCAGTTTTCACACAGCATTGTTTTCTCCCTCAATTCATCCTCTTTCCGGGTTCCCAAGGTTCCTTGAGTCCTTGGGAACTGGCTAATGACCAAAAGGAAAAGATAGGACTCTGACCAAATACAAAATTAACCTTAGGTGTTTCAGCTGATTTCAGGGTGGGGGTAAGGTTGGGTGAGTTTATATCTTTAGTGCTTCCAATATGCTGAGAGTCCAACATGAAATCAAGACCTTAGTTCATAGTAAGAATGATAATAGGTAATATGGTTTGGGGAAAGTTTGCCATTTACTAAAAACCTGAAAGAAAATTTGTTATTCTAGTCAATTAATGGAAATTATGATATGTAATGGTTCAATGAACCTTTCTTATCTAGTATGTAATTTCAAATTTATTTATACAAATGGGAAAAAAATACAAATATCATAGAACTTTGAAGCTTAAACAGGGAACTTTTCTTAAAACAAAAGCAAACCCCCACCAAAAAATCTAAGGCAAGGCCACAAATCTAGGCTAAGAAGGTAAACAAATTGGCTATATACTGAAGACTCTTCTTCAGGGCACTAACTTAACTTTCCAAGGTTAGTCCTGAACTGAACAAAATTAGAACTGAGCAAGATGAAAGTCAAATGCTAAATTCATTTTAGCCTTAAAAACACAGTTTCTTAATTCTGTTAGACCAGTTTCAAAGCACATGCTTCTGGGAACCATGCAGTATGAACATGTTTAAAGGCATATACTCAAAAATTTATAGTAGTTTCACAAATTCTAAGCTACAATTTTATTCCCCGTATTAACTGTCAGAGTTAGCAGAGAGACAAGCTCACAGCTTTCATTTCTAATCTTTGGTTGCAATTGTTCCACCTGTGATCTAGCCCTCTAAGAAATAAAACAACAACGACAACACTTTGAGGTCTCAATCCACTTTACGAAAAGAAAGCTTTATGAAAAGCCTGAACAATGAATTTAAACATTAAGGAGAAAATGAGAAACGTTAGGTGTGTGAAGTAGGAAATGTTAATTTCATGCACTTAGGAACACACACTCACACCCCACAGTAGTAGAAGCAGTAGAAGAGGAAAACACTACATGTGTAGGGGTAGAAATATTTGTTACATCATGATGCTGGCTGGCGATGGAGGGTTGCCGCCTTAGAGCCCCCTGAATGGAACTTCCACTCTGGAAAGCATTCACTACATCCATCTGCAAGGAATCAGAGATTGTGACAGCTTGCTCAGCAAGAGAGAGAGAGAACATGAGAAAGGACCATTCCATCTATCAACATTTAAAAAGTAAAACAGAAAAAGGCACTTTTTAAAGAGCAGATAAATAGGCAAGTTGCATTTTGAGGTGAAGGTGGGGGAGAAAAGCTAGAAAAAAAGGAGCTTAGGGGCATATAGACACATTCTCTGATGATCAGTTTAAACTGTCACTCATTCCAGGCACCAGTATTATTTTTTCAAAAGAATATATTTTGTGGGTTGGGAAGGCTTGAAAAGAAGTCAAGGAGCGCATTCAAACCTCCTCCCCAAGGTCCAAATGCCCTTGGCTCCCGCTCCCATCAGCTCTCCTACCTGTCTCCCAGGCCCATACCTGTGTTTGGATTCTGTTCAGACCTCTAAACCACAGGATCTGGCCACGCCGCAGCTCCCTTTCCGCGTGATCAATCTCCTCTGCGTCCTCCGCTAGCTCCTCTTCGGGTATTTCTTCCTTTTGTGTTCCATGGCCCGCTTCTTTTAAGAATTTTAAACGGCTAGTTGGAATTGTTGAAATAAGCTACAACACAGGGGAAAGAACTTAGAAATAAATCACAATCTAGAACAACTAAACTGATCAATTGTAATAAAAAAGGCATGAGAAGTTGTAAGCTTAGCCAACTATCTTTACCAATGAAGCAATGAGATCCTATCCACCAGTTTCCTTTCTCACAACAAAAAATATTCTTCTCTTAGCTACACACAAAAGATTTAAGTTCAAAGAGTAAAAGGTTCTCCTGAGTGAAAATAAACCGATTCTATTTTCATGTTTTAATTAGGACAGTCAAGACAGCAAATTATACAACCATGCTTTGATACATATATGTATGTGTGTTGATATATATGATTATTGAAACTCATTACTTATATTTATTTCAAATAAAACAAAAATGGCCAGTGGTCTTACTGGACACAAAACAAGTTTGTATGTCATTAGTGCTATAAAGAGTTCAATGAGAAAAACATACAAAAATTCAAAAAATCTTCAAGGTTAAACTGAAAAATAGTTCTTTGTTTATTAAACGTACTTTTTAAAATAAAATGCACGTATTTAAAACTGAATTAACACTGATTGCTAATAACACCAAACAGTAACAGAGGCCTAGGAAACATGAAGGATACAAAAAAATAAAATAAAATATCAATGAATAGGTATTAACTTTTAACTGTTAACAGCCATTCCTTAAGGAAGTTGGGCTTATGGGGGAAATAATCCTCAGTCAGAATCAGAACTGCTTAGACAGCTTCTAATCCTACCTTTCAGAGGTAAAACAGGCTCAGAGACACAAATGGCTTGTTCACGAATGACTAAGAACCTAAGTCTCCTAACTGCCAAGTTCAATGCTCTTTCTCCTGCACCACACTTAAAATCAACAGACAATGTCAACCAAAGATAAGTAACCAAAGATAGATGCCTGTGAGTATGTATGTGTGCTGTACTGCATTTCCTCTTCCTGAAATGAGCCAGGTTTTTGGGGACGTTCTGGGGTTCTGACTTGTCTATGAGGGAACATTATGAAACAACTAGAATGGTAATCAAAAAGAAAAGTAGAATGAGTATGGATCCTACTTAAAAGATCTCTAGTAATGAGGTCTTCCATACAACTAAGAAGAGAAACCTCAGAACCTAGAACACAATTAAGAGAAAGGTGAGGTAAAGGGCATATAAAGACTGAATTAAGTTTAAGTAAAACCTGTATGTTTGGTTTGACTGACTTGCAGAATGACAATAAATCAGCTCACACCAGTTACACACTACAGCATGTGTTCACTGTCATTTATGAAAATGTTAGTATAGACTATCAGTTTTATAGTAATAGTAATGGTTTCGAATGAAGGATGCACACTGTATTACCATTTACCTTAAAAAAAACAATGACATGCATTTGCAAGTCAGCTCCTATAGTAAAGATGAAACATGTCTCCTTTTTCAGACATTGTATATATACACTGTTAAAGCCAATCAACCCAAATAACTGAAAATGTAATTTTGTGGCCCAATTTCCCAGATACCACTATTTTTATGGAAACATTCTCTAAGTGAACTGAAACTCAAACCTTTTCTTATGCTACATTTTGGATTAAATTACGTAACAAAATGATGAAAGTCTAAATTACCTAAGATTTTTGTTTTTATAAAGACATTTATTTGGAAGACACAAAAAAGATACAGATATTAGCATCCTAACCAGCTATACATGCATCATTTTAATAGGTGTTGTAAAAATTGTTCTAAAAGACAAGTTAAAAAAGCTGCAAGAAATTTTAAGTGTTTGATTGTATAGGCATAAGTGACATAGAATACCATATTAAAAAAAAATATATCCCTGAATGCCGTTTCTTGACCAAGAATGATAATTACTTAGAATCAAGTAATAGAACTGATTAAAGAAAATACATACTAGAAAGTAAAGGAAAAAAGCACTTTAGGTTTGAAAATAAAATGATGAGATTTTTACCTGGCCCCAGAGTAATGTTCCCATTCCTAGGAATATTGACCAGAGCCACTGTTCTATTGAAAGTTCTGAACAACTGAAAGGTTTTCCGCCAAACTGCACAATTATTATCTGGAGGAATAATCAAGAGTAAATTTATTTAAATCTTTAAAGTTTTATACTTCATATTCTTAAAAAATTACCCAAGTCTGTGTCCTTTAAAACTCAAGCCGAACAAGCATTATTCCGATGGTGACATTTATTATTAACTTTACAGCTGGCAATAAGACAAATGAAGTGAAATCTCTGCTCCAAATTTTAAATGCATGTATATTTCATGTTTAAATCATGCTAACTAAAAATAAAAAGTTCTCATGATCAAGGAGATTACACTGTTTCCAACATAATCCTAAGTAACTACATTCCCCTGTATTTAGTGCAGTTCTTTGAAAGAAACAATTTATTTTTCTCACAAAAGGATAGTATACTTTTGGGGAAAAGATCAAATTATGGAAAAGTGGACATAATATTCAGTCTTTTTTGTTTTCCTTCTAAGCAGTCATTCATTCCTAATTAAAATTTCTATGTGAGGACAAACATGAATGGATTACAAGAAGAAAAGCAACTTGCCAATATTTATGAACTATGTGCTAAGATGGCAGGCCCTCAAAATTTATTTCTTATAAAGAGGGATAAATCCAATGATCTACATGAATAAAATTCTTAATACAGTGCTTATGTTTCCTTTATTTTAAAGGGCCTAAAACAGTGTATGTGGGAATAAGAATAGTAATATTCACCCTTATGTAAGTTAGGCTTCTCTTTGATATGGCAGTTAGTAGCTGCCAAATATTGAAATTAAAGAGATCAATTCAGTAACATTTTTAAACATTTTTACAAGTTACAGACTTTGTTCTTTGTAGCTGCACTTTATTCCCAATTCAAGTGGCATTTATTTGTCAATTTCACTGTTCTTTAAATCAAAGTCACTTGTACACTTATACAGGTAAGATTCACAAATGGTTTTTTTAGGAGACCAAGCAGTCGATTATAACTGATTTAGAAATCTTGCTTGGATTTTAAAAGATATTTACAGAGATCGAAACTGGAATAATTTTCTTTTATAAATCAAGAAAATGATCATGAAAAAGAGCTTAGCATGTATTTGTGTGCTTTCATTTTTTAAAAATCTAAAAAACTTTTATTTTTTTTTGTTTAGTATAATGAGGGATGCGATAGGGATGCTGTGGAAACAACCAATGATTAATATGACCGGTTAATTTAGTTTCATTAGAATAATCTTTCATTTTAGGGTTGGAAGAAATAATATTAATTAGTTATGGCATTTACTAAGAACAAGAGACTAAGTTTCCATACTATTTAACATAGGTCTTATATCAACATGGCACTATAGAATTGTGTATTCAAGTATGTGAAACATTTCCTAAATATGTGTAGAGGGAACCCAGAACTGGGTATAGTTTTCTAAATGTAGGAGCAGCTGGATTAGAGTTCAACAATTTCTTAATCGCAGGATTTCCTAATTTCAGGTTGTTAATGAACAAACTGTCATTTGTCAAGGTCACAGAAACTACTAAGAGGTAACATCTTGACTTGACCCCAGGACTGAGTGATTCCTAAATTCATGCCCATAAGAACTATGGTATATTGCTTTAAGAATCTCCAAGAATAGACACAATTTCCTAAACTGATCTGAGGACGTAAGAGCAGCTGAAGGACTGGAATTTCATGAAACACATTTTAAAAATGTTGGTTCTGTGTTAATTGCTACAAAGTAGAAGAGAAACAAAGAGTTAAAAGGATTACTATATACTTCATGATCTGTCAAAAAAAAAAGTGTGGGGGAAATAGCAATAATCAGCTAGTAAATGAAAGAGACAGAAATCAAATTTAATACAATTTGTAAGATTAAGAACTTCAGGTACCTCAGACCTACAGTCAAGACTTTGGCCAGGCTGTCTTCAAAACAAATAAAATAAGACATGTAAATCCAGGGTTATGGTTTCCTACGCAGCTGATTGTCTATAGGTACAGTTTAGAGTGTGGATCCACGAGAAGAGAAGGAACATGCGCTGGAGTGCAAACCCACACACTGCCTGGGTTCCGCCTGCTGCTATGCCAACAGGACCCCAGCAACAACATGAAACCTGCGGCCGGAATAGTGTGATTCACAAAGCTGTTGATTACATCCTGGCACATGCTCCTTATCTCACGGTGGAGTTCTAATAAACAGAGCAGTGGCTGATCCACAGACCACATTTTGAGTAATAAAGGCTTATTTATAAGGCATTGAAAAATGACATTTCACATTGTTTTGGGTATATCAACCTTTACATTTTTGCAACCCATGTATATTGAAAACAGATAAAATGAAACCAACTCATAAGAAGTAAAAGCTAAAATTTTGGTGTGTCATAAGCAATAATTTTGAAAAAATATGAATAAAATAATTCCACAAGATACATGGCAAGTAAGCAATACTTCCCTTAAAGTTTATAGAAAATGAAAGTTAAAACTCAATCAATTTTGACAGAAATAATTAAGTCTAGGGTTTGGGATTTTGGTATCCACACTGCATGGGATATAGGCTGAATATACAAAATCCTTCAATCTTCATTTTGAAACAAGCACCATCCCTGTCTGAGTCCACTGTTGAAAAGCTTTTTAATTTTTTTATATCTTATAGTGTTTACTGATTTCCTGGATTGATTGCACACCAATCATTTACCTGTTTTTTATTCCAGATTGTACTATTAACAATCATTTGCCTAAACAATCATTTGCCACAGACTCCAAGATGAAGATGATATAAAAGCATAGGTTTAACATATAGCTAGTTAAATAAAATAACCATATGCAAAGTGATCCTTAGGGCTGTTCTAGAGTGATCTCTACAAAAGTGGGAACATTTTTAGTCATTCTTATTCATTCTCAATCCCACTCTTCACAACCCATTTCCCCCTCCCTTTTCCACTTTGTTCTGACAGTATTAAAACATGAAAAACTGGCACATACCAACAAGATGCAGCCATTTTGTAACTTTTTATTATTTAATAATAAACTCAGATGTAGAACTACAACTACAACTAGTATTAATCGCTAGAAGTAATTAAGTGATCACTCTAGCTAGACTAGAAAGTGGTAAACTGTAAGATTTACCTTAAATAATGTCAAAATTATAATAGTTTGGTAACAATGCTATAGACAATCAGGATTCGACAGAATGTGAAGTACAACCACAGAACCAGTAGGGCAATTAAAATAGCATTAAGCTTAACATAATCTTCTCACATGTAGAATTTCAAGATACCACAAATTTTCATGAGTTACAGTTAAAATAAGCTTTTTTTTTTTAGATGTCATTAAGGTAATACACAGAAGCCCCAACATAAGCAGCAATCAAGTAGCTTCTAGAACAAGCCTCTTTACTTAATATCTCCCAAATAATAATCCAATTGGAAACTATCTTTTCCAATTACCCACCTGTACCACAAAAGTGCCTAAAACAATTGTGCAGAAGATGGCATTATTAAAGATTCCTTCAAACACATTTCTTTCACCATGAATTTTCCGGGCATTTATTTCGTTGAAAAGTTGCATCAGCACAAAGGTATTAAAAACAATAGTATAATGTTCCGAAGGAGGTGCATGCAAAGGAGCATTTCTTCCACTGTCAATATCAAAAAACTTTTCTCCTGAAAGAATGAAAAATTACTATCTTGTAATTATCATACAAAATAACATTTCAAAGAAATACACAATAAAATCTAGCCAGACCTTTATTTGATCTTGAATGATGGCACAGAAAGAGTTGGAAGGGACCTGGGATTATTTAGTACAATTCTTGTTAAAAAATGAAGAAAATGAAATCCCCAAAACTGTGGTGACATCCTCAAGATCATGTATCTAGAGTCAGCAGTAGAGCCAGGAGGAGAGATTAGGACTCTTTCTACTTCCCCTCACCGTCACACTGCCTCCCCAACTTACTAAACATCCCCTGTTAAGGAGGAGAAATTAAATGGGGAGTCAGAAACAGAACAACTTATGTTTTTGAAAGATGTGTAACATTAAAACATCTGGGATGTTATTAGCTGGGAACAGAAACAACTGAAGCTTTATCAGGCAATGAAGTCTTACCAGCAAACAAGAGTGTAAATACTACTACAAGTTGATAGAATGCATGACCCAAAATATTCTTCATCATCGTGCGTGAGATGAGAGGCTTATTTCTACCATAAGGCTTCCGAAGCAAGAGAGACTCAGTGGGGGGTTCAGTTGCCAGAGCCAGGGAAGCGAGCGTGTCCATTATGAGGTTTACCCACAGCATCTGCACAGCCTTAAGCGGTGAATCCTAGAAAAGATAGGTTTCCTAATAGACATTCACAACTATTCAGGGACTCAGCAATTCCCAGGAAGCCTTTTGTACTTAAAGACTTAACATTTTTATATTAACTAACCAAAAATGGTAAGCTTCAGCTTGTTTAAATTTTCAAGTACTTTAAACAGCCATATTAGACATAGTTTTTTCAATGAACAAACTGTCAACCTACTTGAGTGATACAGGCGCCCGTGAAAGCAACAATCACTGCTACTACATTAACAGTAAGCTGGAACTGAAGGAATTTTGAGATGCTGTCATAGACATTTCGTCCCCACATCACTGCTTTAACAATGCTTGTAAAGTTGTCATCTGTGAGAATAATATCAGATGCTTCTTTAGCTACGTCAGTTCCAGCGATACCCTATTAAAAAAAATCTGTGAATTAGACTAAATGTTTAAAGTATTCTTTCAAATATTTGAAAGGATAATATACAATAAACAAAAACTTACCAGTATACTTAATAATTGACTTAAACTTACTGTAAAAGGTAATACAGTTGGTTTATGCTATCTCTCAGGAAGAGTTGCTATCTTAATAGAAATCAAATATAAACAATGAGACATTGAAAGTAAAATTTAAATGGGGTTAAAAAAAAAAGAGGAATAGACACACGCATTACCCAAATTCCTTCTAAAAGTCACACAAAAAGATATCATAAAAAACAGAAACTCACAAAAAACCAAAAAAGAAAGTGGGAAAGGATACTGCAAAAAAAAAAAAATCTTCTTAAAAGGCTGGAAAGCAGATAACCAAATAATAAGTAATTCAGCTGACCCTAGAGAGCTGAATTCTAAGCCAATGGATGGGAAAACAGAAATAGCCCTTTTTTGTACTACAGAACTCTCCTAAATAAGGCTCAGGACTTGGCAGTACCAAACAGCACTGGCAGTAGGGGTGAAGGTGTGGAGAAAAACAGGAAGATAGTTGTAAAGTCTACTGAAGATACAGAGGTACTTAGAAGGTCCAAACCAAGGACAACAATGTCCATTGACAGTAGAATGTGATGGATTGCTAAGTCGTGGATTAATCAAAGTAAATGAACCACAGCTTCTTTTTATAACACAGATGAACAGCGATGAATAAAGGAAGTTGGACTCAAGTATATAACATACGTTTCTTATGTACAAAGTTTAAAAACAGACAAAAGCCATCTTCAGAATACTGGTTATCCTTGCAGAGAGATAGTGTAGTAATAAGAAGGGACTGTGACCAAGGCATCTGGAGGATTAGCTAATATTCTCTTTCTTGCCTTGCCAGATCTGTCCACATGTGACAATCCACTCAGTTATTTACTTATTACTTAGACTTTTCTGTGTGCATGTTATATGTTAATAAAAAAATTAAAAGGAAAGGCAGCTAGATCCTCAGACCCCTTCCCAAGTCCATGCAACCAGGCAATTTTCCATACCGTCTGACCTGGCAGAAGACTGCCTGCTAATTTGCCAGAGAGGGAAGGTCTAGGCTGAAGGCTACCAAGCACTGCTGAGCAGAGGGGTGCTATTTTGAAAAAGATCAGTTGGTAACTGTTTAATGTTGAGACCACCAGTCTTCCTTCTTTACCTGTTTCCCAGAATGCCAATATTCAGGATTACCCTCAAGGCAGGAGGTATGAAGATCGTTTTCTGGGAAATCTGATCATCTTTAAAGACATAAAAATACTGCAAATTCAAGGTACCCTAAGGAGGGGAAATGGCCAAGCCAGATCACTTTACTGAGCAGCTCCCAGTTGAGAGCAAGCCTATACAGGCCCAACCAAGGCTTTCCAGGTTTTCAGCTTCCCATCATTAAATATGTAGAGACAACCATGTATCACCCAACAGTGGAGGAAAGCACTAACCTGAAGGGCAAAGACTAAACCAAAAGGCAAATGGAGATGCAGATTCTATAGAGATAAAAGCTTACTTAAAAAAAAAACTAAATCCATAGAAAGGTAAAAGATACATCAATGAAAACAAGAACAAAAACTCAGAGATCCAAAAACAGCTCTTGGAAATTAAATCTATGACCCCAGACATGAAAAACAACAGAATTTGAGGAACTATCCCTGAAAATAAAGCAAGACAAAAGTATGGTAAAGAGGAAAAAAGAGACAAGACAATAAGTCTAAGAAATCCAAAAACCAGGGGAGTATTGTACAAAGAAAGAGTGGAGAGGAAATAAGACTGGTGTAAGACAATTACACAAAATTGAAGAAAGTGAGTTTTCATAGTAGAAAATTTCTCTGAGATGAATCACCATGACATATCACATTTCAGAGGACTGAAAACAAAAAAAGACACACATATCTCCAGAAAGGAAAAAAAAGGAGTGAAGATGGAGAGGTTAGTCATAAACATAATAAAAAAGCTTCTCATGAATGCGTTTTTTCAGGAAGCTTTTGAAGGAGACAGCTCTACTTACTATAGGAAGGAATAATAAACCAAAAGACGATGACATTGAATCCAGGATCCAACATAAGAGAGAAAGAAATAGGAGAATACTTAGATACGGAGAAAAACAAGACAGGTGTGTGGCATGCCGAGCAAACAGTCCAGTTTGGGACTATCAGAAGATTTGGGAGAGGTATTTCTAAGAAGGTAAGATTAGTAAAAGCACCAGATGTCTCTGATGAAATAAAGGAGAATGTAGTGATGAATTAGTGTTGGGCACACAGTAGAAAAACTAAGCAAAATAAATAAACAGACCAAATTTCAAACTGAAAAAATAAAACTAAAAATAAAGTGAATGAAAAAGACAACTCACAGGGAATACAGTTGTGTGAAGAAGTAAGAGTAATTACAGTCGATCCACCTGGCTCAGTGTAGAAGAGCATTTTCAATCATAATAAAGGCCACAGATCGATCTATCCAAAATTACATGTAACTCTGCCAGAAGAATGACAGAGTAGGTTGTGCATGAATGCAAACAGGGGTAAAAGCAGTGTGTGTGCCTGTGAAAGGTGCTAAATCTAAATCAGTATCTTGGTGAGAAGTAACAAATAGTTAATCAAAAAATGAGGTGGAAGAAATGTGTGGTAGGGGATTTAGGTATTAAGTCTCACTGAACTATGTGACTTTTGAAATGCTATGCGTATAATAAGTTTTTAAAAAAATCAAGCTTTTCTCGAAATAGTCAATGAAGAACAATTTTAATTTATACTTTTAGTCTCTAGCTCCTAATCTGAGTATTTTACTTTCAATGTGCAACATATTTAACACATCTAAGCTCAACAGGTTTCCCTGCCTCTAGTCTTTCTCCCTTTACAAATGCAAATCTCATCACTCTCGTGTTCAAAATCCTTCAATGTTTAAAAAGTTGCTTTAAGATGTTAAGCAGTGCCCAAATAAAAACTGGTTCCATAGTCAAATAGTCAAACAAATATGGGAAACTTTATACCAAAAAAAGTTACACAGCTTTTTATGAACTTCTCTGAGCTGTACGCTAACATGCAGTGAGCCTCCAAATTTCTTCTATTCCATCAGAAGTCTGCTTGGGAAGTGATAATTTACAGGTTAAAAGACCAAATCCCTTACCTTGGGAGTCAGGCCCTTTTCAGGCAGCTCCTGGCCTACCCTCCCTGTGCTCACGCCTTCATGTTAGCTTGTTAAACTACTTGTATTCATGGAGACTCTCTTGGTTCTAGTTTTCTACATGCTCTTCTCCATTGTGAGGCTCAAATGGCACCTCCAGAAAACCTGTCCCAGTCCTACAGACAGATCAAGGACTTCTTCCTTCAGGCAGTCAGTGTGTTGAGATTAGTCTTTCAATGGCTGCCACTAAGCTTTCAATTCTATTTCCTTACGTGCTGAATGAAGCTTTAGGAGGCAGCAACTGCTCACTTGCAGTGATTCTGGACAAGAATACTGAAAACAGCTTCTTAATAATGCTTGTAGAATAAACAAATGGATCCCTTATTAATCCAAAGTTTAAAGACAGTATTTTGATTACCTTAGGGTAGATTTACTACCATACATGTATTTGGTTATTAAAATACACCATGGCATTCAGTCTTTGATGACAGAAATATCTGTATGTGTGGTTAACTCATTTGGTTAAGAATAATATAATATAATAATGTAATCATATTTTAAAGGTACCACAGAGGCCAGCCACCTAAATGAATTCTAAGGGGAGTGGCCAAATAAGGGGAAATGCCAGACCTCTTTTGCAAGCTAATTATGTATTTACATTAGAGTTCTTTTGTACCTCTTACTTTACTGTTGTAAATTTTATTTTAATGTTGAATTTGCTAAATATACATATTGTACCTCCCTATATATAGATAGCGTGAGTGAGCGTGAGAAAGAAAGGATGAGGGGGAGGGGAAGAATATATAGTGTTCTAAAGGGCTATTTCTGCCTGAAAAATAAAAGTGTGGAAAGGACTAATCAATAGCAACTTCTTGTAGGTATCTAATAAAAGCCCAAGACAAATAATTTTGTCTTTCAGCATTAAAATATGAAATTGAAGAACTGAACAAACACACAAAGTAAATTCAAGCTTGAGCAAAAGCTTGCTTTCAAGTCCAAGTCACTAAGCACTTATTCTTTCTCTGTATTTAAAAAATAAATTTAGATTTTTGGTTGTGCTACCTAAAGAAAAATGTGGTACAATAGGCTTAAAACTTCATGGGCTTAAAATTAAAAAAAGCAGCCCCTCTACTGTGTTTTTGTTTGTATCGCTTTATTTACCAGTATTTACTTAAAACCTTAGTATCTACCTTAAACACTTAAGTTTCGGAAGAAAATTGTTTTCTATTTTAAAATGCATTGTATGTAAATGCCTTCCTGGTCAGCTGTCCAGGTGACAGTGGCAGTAAGAATTCTGTTAAGTGCTCATGGACAGCAGTGAGTGATCCTGTGTTCCTACAGTGAAAGACCCTGTTCGCCTACAGTGGAAGAGAAGCACATAAATCTCTTCACAAGTTCACACCAATGCGGTACTACCAAGTGTATTAAGTTTTCTGGCATAGGGTATGGTAGGGATCTCTTGGTTTAACTATTGGCTGAGAGCACTTTACCCATATATTCCTCTTTTTTCATCTCCTTCACTTCTGTTGAAAGGCTGCCACCATGGTGGTGATTCTACTACACCCCTATTTTAGCAGCAAAATATCAGGGGACAAATTGTGGAAATAAACATTGATACACATACTTATCCTCTTATGTGAAACCTTTGGGGCCAAGACTGTTTGAGAATTCAAAGTCTCTCCCATTTTAGAAAGGTAATGAGGCACATACCTTCTATCATACTCCCAGTGGGGGTGAGCAACTGCACAAACACATTAATATCTCCACAGTGCCTACAAATGTTCACATAAAGTATAACAAATAACATCCTCACATCAGTTCACATTAAATTTTGAAATAAGTCTATTTCAAATTTAGGAAAGAAACATCATTTTCAGATTTTTGGATTTGAGAACTGTGATTATAGACCTGTATTTTCCAAAAATGAAGTTAAGTAGAATTTAAAATTTTCTATGGCACTGAAGGTACAAAAACTCATCCTAACATGGAAAAAATGGAAGAAATAGATTCAGAGATACAACAACCTAATTTCAATCATTAAACATTAATGTATGTATCATATTTATTTTATGATACCCATTTTACTATAAATACTTTTATCAGTACTATGGCTACAGTACAAGAAATCATGAAATGCTGGACATTTCTAGCACTTTAAATAATCAAATCTAAATTAGGATTGGGGGAAAGATTTTTTCCAATCAAAAAAGATTATACCAATTCCATATGAAATGATGACATTCAGTCACTCTTAAGGGACATTTTCAGTTGAGTGGAAGATTCTCAATCATATTCTTAATTTAAATATACTTAACTGTTCCAAGTCTGTCTCCTACTTAAGAGGATTGTTGTAAGGTTCAGATGAAATGACAGACATTTATATATTTCAAAGAGTACAAGGTAAATGTATGATCTTATTGTAACTATTCAAAAGAAGTCATCTTTCAGCCAGATTTCACAACATCAAATAAAGGTAGCATACAAATTAGTTAAGACTTATAAACCAATTTAGGCTTATATATTATCCCTCAAACTAATCTTGATGGACAGTATTTAAAATCAATAGCAATTTAGTAACCAACCAACCAAAAAACCCAGCGAGTAAATTATATCTGAATGTCCGAACAGGTAAGTTCCTACCATTGCAAATCCAACATCGGCTTTCTTTAGCGCCGGGCCATCGTTTGTACCATCCCCAGTTACAGCTACCACCTGGCGTTGTTCAGAGACGGTGCTGTCAATTATACCTGAAATAAAAGCAAACATCCGAAAAATATTCCCTTTTAATTAATAAAATGATTCTGCAGACTATCCTGACTAGCCAGTTTTACAGGCTCAAAGTTAAATATCCTACTTTAGTCCATGAAGATAAACACAATCCACCCAGGGTATCAAAAAGAACTGTACTCAGGTTTTATTAGAAAACATGATAACCATGATTTAATCTAATAATCAGTATCTAGTACTATTTTAGGAAGAGGAACACGTCTGTTTTAAGAAATTGTGAAAATAATTGTAAAATATACGCACCTTTAACCAGTGTATGTTTATCAGTAGGAGATGATCTTGCAAGTACTCGAAGCTTTGGCCAAATCTTGTCTATTCGCTCTTGCTCAATCTGTAAATTTGTGTCCAAGTTAAAATGAGCCCAAACCTAGTTTCTTAATTTCATATTAACTATCTGGCATAGGTTATCAGTGGTTCTCAACTGTGGCTTAACAGACCAGCAGCACCTGCAATTTCTGGGAACTTAGTAGAAATACAGACTCGGGAGCAGGGACCTCTGCCTATCTTAACCACTACTCTGGGGTGGAGCCTAGCAATCAATGTTTTAAAAAGCTCTAGGTCGCTTGGAATGCAAAGTCAAGTTAAAGAACTACTGCTATATGTAAGATCACAGCTGAAAAACCTTCCCACTGCCTATGAAAATGGAGACCCTCTAACTTCGGGTAAAAGGCTCAGAGACCTTGGGGTCCCCTAAAATATGTTTCATATATCAACCTTTGCAAACTTACCTCCCTCCCAATACTCGCTAATACATACTGTTCTTCTGAAATTAGACAACAGACTGAAAAAAAAGAGTGCTCACTTCCTTTAGGGCCAACACATCATTTATCCCCTTATTACCTCCTAAAATGCTAGTGTTTTTGATTGTTAGTTAAGGTGCAGGCTGCATTTACTCATGTGTGATGCCTAACACACAGTGCATATTCAATATGTATTTGTTGCATGAAATTCCTAAATACATTAAAAATATACCAAAAAATAAAAAACCCTTACCTCTCCTTTTTCATTTCGTATTCTTCTGTTGAAATCTTTACCTTCCAGGCATAGGAAATCTTCCCCAGGATGTAAAATACCACATTTGGTAGCAATTGCCCGAGCAGTATTAATATTATCACCAGTGACCATCCGCACAGTAATTCCAGCCCTCTGACATTTTTTTATTGCATCTGGTACCTGTTTTACACAGAAAAAATTAATGTTAAGAAAAAAAAACCCCCACTCAACAGTTATGCATTACCTCAGAGTCCCACAAATAATGACTATTTTAATTTCATCTCAAGATATACAAAATTTCTTGAATTAAATTCCAATCTCTTCTTTCTCTTTCTACTGCCACAGTCCTAGTTCAGTCTTCATTTTCAGTTGTCCTCCTACTTATCGTTTGCATTAATTACCAAAGGCTTTTTAAAGCACTTTACCCCTTACTGGCAACCATTAGGCAATTCTTTTCTGGTTTTAGTGCCCAGAAGACACCAGAGTAAAATGTAAAATGCTGGTGTTCTTTAGGATTACTGGCAGCTCATTTTTAATTTTTCACTCCTTATCTTTACCTAGTCTTATACTTTTGTCTAACATCTATGTGCTAATAACTTGCAAATCTACATCTTTCTCTGCTTTACTGTGAGAGTCAGATTCAGAGGCACACATCAGAGAAGTGGACGCTGAATTTGGGTGTCCAAAGGGGAGACCACATTTTCTACACCGGCCCATCTAACAGAAACCTAAGGGTTACATGACCTGTTCCATCTCCCTCACCCTATTCATCCTTCAGGGCAATGAGTCCTGGATTCTCCTTCAAACCTCACTTGCACTTGTTGTCTGAACTACTACAACAGGTTTTTTTTTAAGAAAAAGTAATTTTTTTCTAATACATTTTCTTAAAAATACATGATTCCTCAACTGTTATACCATAAACCAAGTTCTCAGTATAAAAGAGTATCACACTTGAGTGTCAGAGTAGTTTTCTAGATTTATCTAAAATTTTTCTCTACTATCTACAACTTGATAGATGAATAACCTGTGTATTATTTCTGTGCCTGTGCTTCTAGTAAAGTTCCCTTTACCTAGAAGATTCTTTCCTACTACTCTTTAACTAGAAAACCCATACTGATTCTACTAGGGCAGATGCAAATGCCTAGGGGCCATGCAAGTACCATAAATGAATGAAATACACTGAAAGTGACAAACCCTGAGAGGAGTGCCTAAATGAAAGAGCTACTCAGCTCAGCCTCCTTTTCACCACTTGGTGGAATGAACACCAATGTGGACAGAACCTATAATTTCAAGGAAAGCAGAAATCAAGTTTGGTGTGTACTCTCTCAACTTAATATTTTACACACACACAAATAGAAAAGTTAATATGACTGAAGGTTAAATTTGGCCTTAAGCTGTTTCTGGCTTCTATTGTAAGACCGTTTAAATAAAACATCTCTGGAAGCTTTCATGGCCTACCTAGACAGAATTCTGCCTTCACACTATACCTACCTCTATTATTAAAAAAAAAAAAATCAGTATTTGATTCTGAAAACATCAGTATACTGTATAATACTGTATAAATGTAATATATATCCTGTTACTTCGTTTGAGATAAAAAGCAACCCAAATCTGTCCATCTAAGCACTCAATGATTGGGTGATCTCAGGTTAAACTATGGACAAATAATATTTAAGAAAGACAAACTAACATGTATGAATGACCTGCTGACCACCAAAAACTTCCACTTGGAACTCACAAACTGCCTCTACTTTTACAGATAAGAAACTGAAGAGAAGCCAAGTATCTTGTTCAAGTACCTATCTATGCATGTGCAATAAAGCTGGATTTACCTTAGATCTAATCAATCAAGATTTTCTACATCAGAACTGCAAGGTCCAGAATACTCTCTCAGAGAAAGCTGTTTCCTATTATACTGTCTCATTTTGCTATGAAAGGACACATGTCTCACTTCATGATACTGACAAAATTAAGTGCCACTTACTGTTTAAAAAAAGATAAAGCTCTCCATCAACCTCAATGCCAAGGGCATGATGACAGCAATACATTTTCCCAAGGACAGAAGTTGTAGACACCCTGATCTAATATTGTATTAAGATAAGATTTAAGCCATAAATCAACATATAAAACTTAGGTTTTCCTTTAACCAAAGGTTGGCCAACGTGATCCACTTGGATGTTTCATAAGCATTTGAAACTCTAAAACTCAAGCCTGAATTTACCTTGGTCTCTAAATCAGCTGCTGCTTCTGATTCTCATACTACACTGGTAATACTAACCCATACTGCATTACCATCTACCATTCACTCTTAAAGAATTCTGTAGTCATATGTGGTGAGTGGCTACTGTACTGAACACACAGAACAGTTCTACCATCACAGAATGTTCTATTGGACAATGCTGGCCTAGAGATTGTGAAAACAAATAACCTAACAGCATCTATCATTTAATTTAATATAAACATCAATTGAAAAAAACCTACCCTGTTCAAGGCACTGTGCTAGGTTATGGTGCTATCAACACATAAGATCCTAAAGAGAAGCCGTCTAGCTAAAACCCATAAATAGGTATCATATACATCACAAGCACTATTATTTCATTTATTTTGGATTCATACAGAAAAAAATACAATCACAAACACCAAGCCTGTTCTAGAAAACTGGGTGCAGTCAGTGCCTGGAGCCCTGTGGTTAAGAGATCCCACACATGCAGAGCACGGACGTTTCACCACCTCAGGTCTCACGGGGTCTTCAATCCCCACGACAGCAATGCACGTGAGGCCGGTGACAATATCATTTTCATTATCCCACTCTGGTTCTGGTTCTCCTGCTGGGAAATCTCTGAATGCAAGACATATGGTTCTCAAGCCTTCTGACGCCATCGGTTCAATCACAGTTTTTACAATATCATCACGGTCCCTTGGTCTGAACACTTTTGCCTCACCATTAGCGCTCAAGATTTTGAAACACCTAAAAGGAAATGTTGAATCCAAACTCAATAATTAACAAAAATAATGGTTAATGCCATTTAAGTGAACTGGAAGGGCTAGAAATCATGGGATCTATACCTGCAATTCAGAGAAATTACCTACATTGCATACAGACTTACATCATATTCTTTTTTCACCCTCCCCTTTACAAAGTAATTCTACTTTTTATGTTAGAGTTCTTCTACTTTATCAGTTACTCCAGATATTCTCTAACCTTCTTTTTTGGAAATGCAACGCTTTTAAATTTTTACAAAGAACCCCTAGTGGCAGAGGAGAATAAACTACATAGTCCTGTCCAATTTGGTACAGAATTTAGACATTAATTTTAATAAACACAAAATTCACAAATATTTTCTTCTTTTAAAGTAAAAAGCCAAGTTCAATCCACCCCTTACCTGAGATGGTGTTTCATCACCTATATTCTTTTAACCATGAAAGAAAAAAAATAACTTATTGTTAAAATAAGCATTCTATTAGAATGAGAGAGATAATGCCAAAATAGATTTATTTTCAGTGACACTAACTACAACCATTTAATTATGTAGTAAATAAAAGTTACACTGTACATTTTGCTATTTAAAGTGTGTTTTTCGCATTGCCTTTGTATGCTCTTCTCCCTTGGTGATAACACCTCCTCCTGCTTCTAATGCAGGTGATTCCCAAATCCACATCTTGTTTTGTTTTCCAAAGCCCTACATCACTGCTGAAGTGTTCCACTCAGATACTGCACCAGTATCCTAAATTCACTGCAAGCAAGACTAAAAGCTGCCTCCTCATTGCCTATCCAAGACATCAATGCAATGTATCTCAATGTAATCTCAATAATCTCAATGTAAATCTAAAATCTCACCTGAAAACTTACTTTTTCCTCAGACACTTATACACCAGACTCCATGCAAGATGTTTCATATGTACTATTCTACTTAACTGTCACAGGGTCAGTGGTCATCACCTTTTTTGTCAGTGGAGGAAAATGGAAGCTAAGGAAAGAATCTGCCTGACATTCCAAAGCTAGTTAGTTGCAGAAGAGTCAAAGCCTAATCAGTTTTGATTAAAAAATTTCCCCTGTACTATCTGCTGCCCAAACAAGCTATGGATGAGACAGTTTTCTAACCTTTTACACTGAAATCAGATAACCTAGCATACAGTGAAGGGAAGAAAGCTCTATAGGGCCAGTGTGCTACTAAGCCCATCACTACTCAGCTGAACCATACAACTAACTATTTCCCCAGTATGGCTTTGCTATTCCCACATCCTTTCCACTAATGTGGTTTCCTTCACCTTGATGTTCTTCACACCAAAATCTATTTTAAATGCCACATCCTTCATCATACGATCTAATTTTTTGTACCCATCTGTCATATGCTGCCTTTTCAATAAAATATTTACATACCTGTCTCTGCTAAACCTGTTAGACTATAATCTGTCATGTGTTCATTAAAATAATACTGGATTATAATCTACATATAAGCAAATTAAAAGTAAAAATATTTTAAATGTTTTAATTTCAAATGAGTTCTAATTTTCCAAAATTGCTCTTTATTTTTGTTTTCTTTTCTGGGAAAACAGTAAAGAGATTACCACTCAAAATGGTAATAACACGAGATATTTAAATATGACAATGCAGCAGCATAAATGTGATAAAACTCCACTCTGATATAAAAGGAGAATTATCAAGATCTAGTTTTAATTGCTATCCTAAAAGTTAGTCTATAATTGCTATCCTAAAAGTTAATCTATAATTCATTCATACATTTTTTTTGTCTACTATCTACAGTGCAATGTTGAAGATATAAACTTGACTTTTTCTTCACAAGAGGCTTTTACTTTTTATGATCCTCTATAACAACTAAATCAACATGTCTAAAAACAAATAGCAAGGTCTAGTTTATTAAATCTACCAGATTGAATGTAATGGTTTTCTTTTCCTGTAGCAAAATATTTAGAAATAAAAGCTAGGGTACAGAAATGGCAGAATACCATCAACAAATATCTGGATACCATTAAAATATACTAAAAAGCTCTGAGGTCCTATCAAATGCCTGATGTTCACAAAAAAAGAAAATAACACCAATAACAACATAGTAATTATTCCATAAAGCAACTATAATGAGCAATTTAGTCATCTAAGCATTTTACTCTTACTTTTTCAGAATTATCTCAGATGCACCCTTGCTGAATATTCGGTAACTTCCATCTGAATGTTTCAGGACAGTGCTCATGGACTTCCTCACAGAATTGAAGGTGTAAACTTTGTATAGTGCTTCTTCTGGTATTTCATTTCTAACATCCTGATAATCCCGTTTTAGATCCAAAAGAAGTCCCAACAAGGCACATTCAGTTTTATTACCAACATGACGAGGCAATCCACCCTCTTTCTCTGGTGGCTAAAAGACAAAAAGGTTTAGAAACTAGTATCATCTTCTTTCTCTACGACAGTTTAATCTGTAATGTAAAACAGAATGTGACATTCTAAAACAAAATTATGCAGGTAATTTCTACTAATACTAGCATTTCAAAGGGGGAAACAGAAAAGTGAGGGAGAAAGACTCTCTGGGGTGAGAATGACACAGATTCTGATCTCAGCCCTGCCAGTCACTGGCTGTGTGAACTTTTGGCGAGTTACACTGCTGCGGTATTTGGCTCCACGTGCACTTGTGACCCAAGAATTAAGTGACAGAAGACATGTAAAGTTTAAAGCTGGTTCCTAACGCATAGTGGGACTTAATATTTTTGATTCCTTTCCTTTTCCCATCCTATTTTCATTGAACATTTATGTAAAATAATTCAAAATTAAATGTGTATGCATTAAGATAAAGCACTGTTGCCTTAAATATATAAACTTTATTTCCTTCATAGTTTCTTCACAAATACCACCTTATGCAACCATCATAACAGAATTAAGAGATGTGACCACCTTTACTTAAACAATTGAAGATAGTAAAGCTCGAATTTTTAGCTAGTAAAAGGCAAAGCTAGATCTAGAACCAAGATCCTATAATTTTCCAGTCCAAGTATCCAATTCATGCATATTTTCACTAAACAACTTGCAATATTAATTTTGTTCAGTCTTTACCCATAAATCACCAGAACACATATCAACTCAATTGCATGCTTTATGATGTAAATTAAGACTTTTAAAACTTGCAAAGCTGAAAATATTTCATCCTAAGGTAGCACAACTCTGGAATTACTCTATTGAGTTAGTTCCAAAAGGTCTAAAGGTCACCTTATATGTAAAAGCTACTGAGAAACCAAACAGAACATATAATCAGAATATACAAATACAATTTTAAGTTGATATCTGGCTTCAAAGCTTTCTCTAGAAAATTGAAAGTTGACTTTCTATAATAAGATAGCCTGGTATTTCACAAAAGCAGCTCGAAAATTTAAAATTTAAATTGTTCTGGTTTTAATTCCTGAGAGTTTCTAAACACAGGAAACTTAAATGGAGAGAAAAATACAAGTAAACAACATATACAATGATGAAGAGATCTCGTGAAACAAACTGTTATCAAGGAAACATACACATATGAATATTTAAAAACAATACATTTCACTTCTTATTTTTTATAGACAGTAATGGTAGGTCTGAAGAGCTGTATATAATCTAATCATTATATTACATATTCAGATTTTCATTTATAAATTAATTACTGAAGAAACCTTACCAATATTTTTGATGTATAAGCACAATTCACAGAGATTCCTGTTACAAGATAGGACAAAATATTTGGTGGAATAGCTTCTGCCTCAGGAATCTTTTTATAATGTTTTTCATTTATGTAAGCTTGAACAACTGTCATTCTGTTCATTGTCAATGTTCCTGTTTTATCTGAACAAATAGCTGTAGCATTTCCCATGGTTTCACAAGCATCCAGATGCCTTACTAAGTTATTATCTTTCATCATTTTCTACAGTGACAGAAAAAATTTAGTTAGGCTACATATAAAACCAATCACACTTTATTACATTTTAAAATCAGAACTAAAACTACCAGATATGTATAAATACACAGTATAAAGCACCAATTTAATCCTGGAAGAATTTTAGTGTATCTAACCTATGCATATAAACTCAAGAGAGTATTAGGTTTCTGTGGTTTTGATTTTACCACTGAATAAACAGAATCTAGTAAATGAATACAGACACCTGCACCCATATGCAAATCACGTTGACTATATGCCTCCAACAGCTTCTGTGAAGTGTCCACACATGACAACAGCAATGACAATCTACTCTAAGTGCAGAGGTACTTACAACAGGGTTAGTGTATATTACACGTAAGGATTAAATCTCCTTGGCAAATGGACAATAAATGATTCTTGTATGAGTCACCAGACTTCCATCAGTAAAAATACAGAGCTTACGGGCATGTAATTATCCAATTTTTTTTTTTTGGGAGGGGGGGACTTGACTGAGTTAACACATCAAAACCAGAATCGGTCATTTTTATGTTTTCCACATGGCTGGTTCATCTGATTTTTTCATCCTTGGGATCATGTCCTTCCTCTTACTTACAAGAACAAAAGAGAAAGTTTCTAAAAAATCGAGAGTTTTCATGGTAGTCCCAAAAGGCATATAAGTTAAAATGCCTGATAATTAGTTCTCAGAACATGTGGAATGAGTTAAAAACTACATAGACTTATTTTACAAAGTGTGCTCTATGACTACTAATGATGTAAGATGCTACAAAAAAAACAAAAAACAAAAAAAATACTGGTTCTTGAAGAAACAACTATGGAGAAAGATTTGCCCCTCTCAAATCACCTGTGATTTGCACTAATATTAAAGATGAAAAGAATGAGTTCTGCAGTTAAGAAAATGTGTTCTGTTTTGCAAAGCAGAACCAAAAGATCCACAAAGACTGTACTTCAGAGAAAAGGACAGAAATTGGTAACGTGGGCTAAACATCTAATAAAAGTTTAAAGAACAGTAGTTAAATGCTTTTATTCATTTTCTATGAAAGGCATGCAAGTCAATCCTGCCTATATCCTTCTGATCAACTAAAAAACTACTGTTATTGATGACTATTCAAAATGAACTAATGACAATATTGGTAAAATGATCACTGTGTCTAAAACTTATGTTTACACTAATTATTTCTACTTATTTTAAAACATCAAAAATAGGACAAATAGATGACTATGCTGTATCTCATCACTTAGATACATTTACCATTTCATTTTTGAAACAAAAGATACCTGAAAAGAAGATAAACACTAAGCAAAAAATATTCTTATCATGACAGGCTTATTGTAAGACATTTTGGGAAACTGAAGATAGGAGTGCTAAGCAGAAACTATGACTGATAACTTTGCATTGCTCAGTCAGCAATACTACTTAAGGAGAGCAGCGCTGATTATTACTAGAAAATTGTTAAGGGCAGCATTTTTCCATTAAGTATAATTTTACTTGAGAAGCCATTTTGAAAGATCAAAACCATCTAAGCTAAACCTTTTTTTAAAGCCCAAAAACTGAACTCACCTTTTCCAAATAAGATATAATATTGATACAAAATACATTAATAACCTGCAAACAGATTACTACTTTAAACAGTTTTAGCAAAGCCACCTAAGTTCTTTTTTTTTTATTTCACTTGAAAAACAAGGATTGAGCTACTTATAAATCAAGCGGACAGAGGTGACATTGGAAGAGACCTGAACCAAGCACAAGAGCAAATGATTTAAAAGAAAGAACAAGTGGGCCCTGAAGTGAGAACATGGCTGGGATATCTGAGAGCCGGCAGGAAGGCTGGCCCCCAGGAAGGGAGGGGATGAGCATCCAGAGGTCGGCGAGGGCCAGACCAGGCGGGAGCATGACTTTTATACTAAGTGTGATGAGAAGCGACTGGAGTTTTACTCAAGGAAATGGTATGATCTGAATTTTTTTTAGAAACATGAGCCTGCCTATCTGGTGAGGACAGACTATGGGGTAATGAGGAAGGAGAGTGGCAATAAGGTGGCCTTACAAGGTGGGAGTGAGTGAAGCCTCTTTGCTCTGTACCACATATTAAGAGTTTTAATTTTACAGATGGGAAAAAGGAGGTGACATGACTTGACAACTACCATATGATGAAAATTAAGATAGAACCAATATAATATTTTATATGAACTACATTCTAATTTAAAAAAAGAAAATGAAGCTAGAACTCTGCCTAGCAGGATTCTGCTTTGTGCCCAGGCTGCCTTCAAAGGAATGGTTAGGTCTTGAGGTACAGAGATCAAGATCACCTGGGGGGAGGAAGAGGAAATGAATGACAGCATTTCTAAAGCAAGCACTGTACATTATGGAAATCCACTTTCAGAACCAGAAAGAGTGACCACATGTACATTTTCTACATCAGCTGAAGCTTTCAACTTAGTAAAATCTACTCAACTATTTTCTACTTACCTTAACTGAATAAGCCAGTGAGATGGTGACTGCAAGCGGAAGACCTTCTGGCACTGCTACCACTAAAACTGTCACTCCAATAATGAAGAACTTCACAAAATATTGGATGTAAATCGGTGTGCATTCAGCAAGCCACGGTCTCTTCTGAACCCAGAATGTATCAATTACAAAATATAATACTAGAATGATAACTGTGATGGCAGACATCAACAGACCTTTCAGTATATAAAAAAAGAAAAATGTAATTACTTAAATAGTCCAGACACTATCCATTGTCAGTTACATATCAACCACTGGAAAAATGTGAACTGGTTTGATATTTACTTTAATTTCTCTGAGAAACTGTTACCTCCTTTTTTTGCACTTAACTCATCATTTGACATTGTCAGGTTTAATTTCTGTTTCCAAGTATAATCCTGTTCCCAGGAGGATGGGAGAAAGTGTTAAATTCTTTCCTAGGCTTCACTGTATCTTTGGCCTTCTAAAGCTGAAACTAAGTAATAATAAGTAATAGCCAATGACAAGGAATACCGAAAGCTTAGCACAAAAGATCGTGCTTTACATGTTGGCAACTTGCCTGATGCTAAAAGAGAAGAAATTTGCTCAAGGAGGAGACTTGGGATTAAATATGCAACCTTACATTTTTACAAAATGTATAAATTATCTGAATTATTTTTTTCACCTATGTTTAATGTATTATTAACTTAGAACACCAAGAGTTAATCATGTATTACAAAAAATTCACCTCTCTATTTTGTGGGCTATTGAGCCCCTCATAAATGAGTATCAAAAATAAGGCAAAGCCAAATATCTAGATTCAATAACCCAACCCAAAGTCTACTCAATACCACCACCATCTTAAATCCACTCTTCTCCTCAACACTGCATGAGTTAATATTACCATGTGGCTACACATGACACAAAACACATATTTGCCATTAGACAGTAAGTTTATTGAGGACAGAAGCAAAAACCTCGCTTTCTCCAACATATGCCAAGTAGTAGATTGACAAAAATTTAAGTGATTTTAATAATATATTCTGATTTGTGTTCTTTCACAAAATTGATACTGGAGGGCATACTCTGCTTTAAGCTAAGAGCTCTGGGGTTTTTTTTTCCCCCTAGAATGGTTCTATTTTTAACGGGTGTTTTCTAGTGATGGCAACAATTTAGTAACCTCAGCCTCACCAGGATGATGCTCTCACTAGTCCACACAATTTAAATAAACTATAATTTTTAGAAAAACACCTAAATTTTTTTTTAGGTCATAAAAAGATGACCAGAACATGTGACAAAATTTCTTTTTATTAAAATATAGTAGGGTAATCTGTATTGAGTAAACTTCTGCCACTCCTCTCTCTACTGCTCCCAGAAATACACAGAAATTCAGGAATGAGAGCAAGGGCTTGTGAATTGGGCATACTGAGGCACTAACGCTAACCCAATCACTTATTAGCTAGCTGACAGAGGACACTTCCAACAATAAATGGGTAGAATAGCCCCAAGGCTGCAATATTATGAGGATCTACAAGAACTCAAAAGGCCTGGTACATTGTGGATAAAAATGAAAAGTATCTTCAACTCCCCTTCCATAATCATAAAGCAATAATTTCCAGCCCCAAGTGTGGCAAAAGATGATTTTTAAGCAGGAAGGTTGCATATTTTATAACAAAACACTTTATTTTCTTCTATATGTCATACCTGCTTTGCCAATCTGAACAGCCAGCTTTGTAAGTTTCCCCTGTAAAACAGATTTTTCCTTTTTTGGCAAGTTTGCTTTCTTTTTGTCTTTTTCATCACCATCTCCACCTTCTTCACTCTTCAAAGGCTGCATTTCCATGGCTGCACCATCCTGGGCTTTTGCTACATTTCAGAGCAAATACAACGTCACTACATTTTAAAAGCACACACAACTATTAACATTTTGAAACAAATCAGTCTCTTGTAAGAAACTAGAAAAGATTTAAATGGTCAGCTTTGTGAGAGCATAAGTGAATGTCTACCTAGAAAAAACAAAACAATACTGACACTAGACCGAATTTTCATACCTGATTTTTCAAAGAATGTTTTGTCAGGTAACAGGGATGAGGCATAAGAAGAAACACAGGGTCCTTAAACTAAGAACGAAATATTAAACCATTTCTCTTCCCTGTGTGGTATTAGATAATGTGGTTTATTCCAAACACTGTAAAGCCCTCCTATATAATTATGACCATTATGTATGACCACCCTTATAGAGAAATACATATGTTGACACTCTTAAATAAACACAAAAACATTTATGTTATATATTTTGATTTTTATGCATTTTTCCTAGCAGTTACATAGTAACCAATGTTAAAACACTTGAAATACTTAAGTTGAAAGTTACCTACATCTAGATTTTTCTAAGTTTACTAGGACAAGTCATAAAATCTTATTACCATTATAGTAGAGGCACTGGTAAGAAGAGAGACTAACTCAGGGAACATACACTGTAGATTTCCCCTGCTACATGGAGCCTTCTTTTGGGTGAATTATAGTACATAGTAGGTATTTTTGGATATAATGAAAAGAAGCTAACTGGACTTTTACCTTTGTTGCGATTCTCAATAGCTCCATCTTGTTTCTTATCTGTAGGAACAAAATGGGAATGAAATCTTTCCAAAAGAAATGAATATAGCCATGCTAAATTATGCAAAGGTAGCTCACATTTCTGTAACAGAACTGTTAAACAATGGTGTGTTATGTACAGATTAGAAAGCGTTTGGCTTGTAAGGACCTGCTTGGTCAATTGCTCCCCTAGGTCTTAACCATGGGGGAATACTCCAAAATAATTTGGGGTATCTATACATGTTTAATTTCTCCATAAGACCTTACTCTTTCATATGCCATAATAAACCCAAATATGGTACAAGAGGTTTTCAAACTTAAATACAGATAAAAAGAGAATGAGGAAAGAGGGAGGGATAAATGTCATAAAGACAACACACACACAAGAGAGCATTGATGGGAATGAGAACAAAAACAGTACATATAAAAGACAGAAGAGGCAAGAAAGTAAAACTAGAAAATGAACATAAAGAATAAGCCAGTAGGACTACCGGTTAAGGTGATTGCCTAAATCAGCTTAGATTTAGAGAAAACAAGGATGAAAATGTCTGAAGCAATAAAACAGTCAAGGAGGGAATGGGTCTATTGTTTGGAGTAGAAGGTATGTTATTAAGAATGGCAAAGAGGAAGCAGACCCATTCAGCCTATTTTTCTTTTAACTTCTTAATCAAGAAGAGTTATCTTCAAACTGGAAAATGTGGAACAAACAAAGTCAAGAAGGAACAGACACTCAAGATAGATGAGGAGATAGTAAGAGAATACCTAGCTTCATCCAATGACCTTAAGTTTGGAGAGAGACCAGATAACACATTCCAGTCTATGAAGGGAACTGAAGAGATTACCCTGGACTGCTGTTGAGTGACTGCCAAAATGGTCAAGGGAAAGGGAGACGGGCTGAACAACGAACCGTTTACGAAAACAAAATGAAAACAAAACAAAGCACCAAAAATAAAAAACGGTATACCATGAGGTTAGATGTTAATTCCTGGAAATATTCTTGACTGGATTAATAAAAACAGGGGTACAAGCTTTTAGAAAAAAAGATTACTTACTGGAAAGACACTGTGGGGTTGATAAGAATTAAGTCATGATGCAAACTTCCCTTTCTTTTTTAATAGGATCCACTGATTTTAGATGCCTATAAATTAGGGTGCAGCACTTTATATAGTGGTTTACCCACAGTGAACTGCTGTCAGCCTACAGAGAAAATACTCTGGAGTGGCATCCTGAGGGGGAAAGGATGGCAGAGAAGCAATGTAGAAACACGGTGGGGAGAGCTTCTTAAAAGTGATATGTCCACAAAGAAATGATTCTGAGCTGTCTATGCATGAGTTTTACAAGATCCTTGTGGATAAACTATAGTTACTAAGCTTGACAGATTGTTTGGAGGGACAGTAAAAACAAAGGATTAAGATAATAAAAAAATCCTGTTATCTAATGATGGGCTGAGTAGAACAAGACAAATACAGTAGGTGTCAAAAGAAAGTCTCAGTCTTATATCCAAAAGCTCACTATGTAAGTACAGACTGGGAAACATGAACAGTAGAAAATGTGAACAAAATCAAAAGCTCAATGAGACAAAAAGCAGTGTGGCTGATAAAGTTACTACTGATGTAGCAGAAAAAATAAGCAAATAGGAAGTGAGAGTTTAATTCATTTTGCTGGTCATACCACAGAGAGATTTCTAAAACTAGAGAATAAACAGAATAAAGCCAATGGAAATGCCCAAGGAGGTGCTGAATTTGGCCATAATAAATGGACTGATACATTCACTAATGGTTCTTTATGGACTGTTAAGTCTGAAAGGAAAGTCTCCCCTGTGTTAACTCTACTACCTGAAAAGTACAATACCAGGTAATTAACTTTTTGTAAAACTTTTCATATCAGAATCTCACCAAAAAAGTAAATTTTTTGGTACCAGTTCTTATAATCAAGTTACTGAATTTCCCAATACCAATTTTTATAGCAAATTGCTATTCTTACTTTTCTTTTCCTTTTTCTTCTCATCTTTCTTCTCTTCCTCTTCACCTCCAGCTCCCAGTAAGGTGAAGATAATTCCAGTTTGTGAATTTATACCTACAGCAGTAACTACCATTCTTCCAGAGCCTTCCATTACATGAGTGCCTACAACAGAAAACCTGTCTTTTAAAGTCATAATAGATTTTTCCTCCTACACCAGATTTTAAACTTTAGTAATATTGTCTTTAATATCCTCAACATATTTTTTTATTATTTATCTTACTAAATTCAAGAAGACACTAAATAAAACCTAAATTGTGCTTGAGGCTTTTACTCTGTAGTCACTTGTATCTAGTTTAAAGCTCACCACTAGTTTATCACGTGATATGAGGCAAATTACAACATCTCAATACCTCATCCATGAAATGGGGAGTAGAACAGTACTTATACTTTATGAAAATAATAAGACACAAATAAGCCTATAAATGCGTGGAATTTGTGGGGTTCAATGAATGCATTTTAATTTTTACAATATCATCATCATTGTAAATTTTTTTCTGAGAAATACACTGCTTAGAAAGAAATGTGCTGATATCTAAAATGGTTTTACAACAGATGCCACATTCCCCAAATCTAACCCCACAACTTCTACCTAAGCCAGGTTTTCACCCCAGCCTGCCTCAATTACTGAAATAGCCTCCAATCTAGTCTGTCTTTACAGTTCATCCTGAAATCAGTTTTAATTTTCTTAAAATGTGATCCTAAGCCTCGTCTGACTCAAAAACCTTTGATTCCACATTGCCTACTGGATTAAGTGCAAAGTCTTCACCTTGAGATCGACCAACTTTTCAAGCTTTTTCATCCATATTTTAACATAAAATCCCACTATAGAAAGCTTGGGAGCAAAGAAGAGAACACTGTATTCTGACTCTGTCCCTTAAATTATCAGGCATTATTATTATTTCTTTTCTAGAAATTTGCCCAAGGTTACTCAACTATTTAGTGGCAAAGCAAAGATTCAATCCAGCTCTGTGAAAGGACAAAGGGCATATTCTTATAAAGCTGATAAATCTGCTTACTGCATCTTTCCTCACTACTTAAAAGACTTCCCACCTTTCTTTTTGTGAATTTTAAGAAGATTTCAAATCTTAATTTTTAAAAAACTCTCAATAAAGTTTTCTTTATAATTATCATGTATGTATCTCTTAGTTTACAACCATTTGGAGGGCAGGTTCTGTAGGTTCTGAGTATTAAATCAATTCTCAAAAGTTATTTGCAAAATAAGATAATGAAGTGTATGTACTCATTTCAGCACTAAAATATTTATATTTGGCTGTTAATTACTGGGTAATGTATCCAATATGAATATTTTAGGCCTCTGATTTTCATTTTTTTAGCAATCTATATTCTGAATATTTTCATTAATTACTGGCTTCTTAGCCTGTTAATATGCAGGGGATACAAGAAATGAAATTCAGGACAGTGAAACAGTATTTACTGAGCAACTATTACATATAAAAGTCTTTGTTTCTTTTAATAATTCTGGCTTTTGGTAAATTTCAGTTCCTTATATTCTGTTCTCCCTGACCACAGGTAACCAGAGATTGGCCATTACTGTGTTCAAGCAAAGTAAACAGTTTTTGTTCTGGTCATATCCCCACTGCTAAGAGAAAAATCTAAATTTAAGAAGCCAAGAACAGCAGTAAGAGATGGCATCATGAGAATACATTTAAAAATAAATGCATTTCATGTTTTTTAGAACATTTTTGGAACAGGGAAATAAATGCAGAAAAACTTTCCCACCCTTACTATGATAAGGGATTCAAGTTATTTCTGTCTTTTCTTAAACATGGAAAATTTATAGAGTTCTTTTGGTATACTGGGTGTATTAAGGACTTCAGTCTACATAAAGCTTACGAGTCATCTCTGGTAAAACAAAAAAGGACATCAACTTGAAGAGGTAAGCACAATGTACATAGATGAATGTACACAGCAGTCCATGAAGTATATACGGCAAAAAGGCAGGAGGAGACTATCTCAGTTTGCAAAAAATATTATGGCCCAGTTAGCCTATGGTGGCAAGGCATGATTAGATTCTTTCTCTCTTCTTGGAAAGATTATTGATTTTATTTGGTTTACATTAACTATAATTTCTTAGAAGTATGGCAAAGAATAAATAAAATAAGGATACACTATACTTAATACCATATATACATACATATATCCATATATATGTATATATATATATGTCTACTCAGAATAAATTACATGCACGCTAATATAAAGAAAACACAAATAAAATGTTCTTAGTGGTGTAGGATACTAAAGGTACCTAAATCTCAAGACTTTTTTTTACAGAAACTTAAGTCTAAATTACAATTGGAAGTTTTACCCTACTTTTAATGGTGTTATTAATGTATGTGCATATAATTACTTTGGTTTTTGGTAGTGGGATGTTTTGCAATAAGCTGTTTTGGCACATATTTGCAGATCTTAAAAGGTAATAATCAAGCTTAGGTATGTTCCCTGAAGTTGTGATTCTAACTTAACTGACCTTTGTCATAGGTTTGACTTTGATTTCTATAAAATCATGTAGAAAGTTCACTGAGAAGAACTGAAAAATTACAGCCGGCAAGTTATTAAATAGTTAACCAGCAGGAATCTCCTGACTATGTATGAAAGCTATAAAATGTTAACATTCCATTAACATCTGAAAATGATAATAGAAGACAGGCAACATTTTGCTTCCTCCAAACTACTGTAATTCAATCTAACAAGCATATGCTATCACAGTTGACTGTTACAAGAGCCTCCCAAATAGACACCACTTCTCTTTTACAAACAGTACCCTTACCTATACAAATCCTTTTTGTATTATTATATTATATATTATAATAACATGTCTTATTCATGTGCAAATTCAATCCTGCCTAGTAGAAGGGCTGCTACTCTGGACCTGCTGTTGATTAGTCATAAAATCTTAGATAAATAATACTCTTATTCATCACTAATTAAATGAGAGTTGGATTAGGTAAACATTAAGGATTTTATCAGTTTTTTGAAAAAAACAAAAAAAAACAAAAAAAAACCTGTCCTTCATAGATTATTATAGAGAATTCATTAATTTATTCTAAATACATAGGCATTCTTTAGTATTAGACTTCAACATGCCTTAAGAATAACCATGATACAGAAAAAAAGAACAATACAGTAGAGTTCATTAGGCTTGTATTTTAGTTTTACAATTACATTAACATTAGTTAACACTGGCTCTAAATCTCTTCAATTTTTTATTTATAAAATATAGATTCATAGATTTCTGATGTCTCTCTTCCAGCTTATGAAAAATAAAGTTTCTAAGTATTATAAGGGTAGAAGCTAACATGAAATACAGAATCCTCTTGGCATTATTGGCTCTTACAGAAACTGTTTGCTGACAGTGGTATATACTGAGGAGGCGGAGGAGAAGTTTAAAGTTAGAAAAGTATACCTGATAGAAGTAAGGGATCCTTATCTAAAGACTTCTTAACATGATCAGATTCACCAGTTAATGAACTTTCATCGATTTTAAGATCATTGCCTTGAATAAGAATGCCATCAGCTGGAAGAAGATCACCTAAAACAAAAAACAATGAGATGCTAGGCTACATTCAAGATTACAGTAATTTTACATTTGTGTTAAGATGTATTACCCTTTTTTACTTACCGTATTTCACTTGAGCAATATCTCCAACAGTAATGTCAGCGACAGGTATCTGGATGACCTGACCACCCCTGATGACTGTGAACTTCTGTTCCTGTTCAATTCGACTCTGCAAACCTCTAAACTGTTTTTCCTTACTCCAGTCATTGAAAGCTGTTACTAATACCACACATACTACCGACAAGAGGATCGCAGCTCCTTCAATCCAACCAGTTTCACCTTCTCCCTCTTCCTCTCCAACAGAAACTTCTCCACAAACTATTTGAAAAGAAAGAAAAAGCTCATCAAAAAAGATTTCTAATGGATGGCAATAGACGTGTCATAAGCTAATTATAATGTTATATAGCTCTTAATTTTAGTTATATCTCTAAACTTTACTGAACTCAAAGCATTCCATAATGGTAAGAATCCTTACTATGCCAAATTAAAACTCTATGACTGAAGATGCCTCAGGGAGACAGTCTAGGGTGTCAGTTAAGAATAAAGACACTGCGGAATATTAAATCTCAGATCCTCAGCAAGTTACTTATTCTTAAAACTTCGTTTCTTTATCTGTCAGATTAGGATATTACAAGAGGATACTTGTAAAGTAGGAGCAGTGGGGCTGCCACATCCTTTACACCAAATGGTTCATGCTATTTTTTATTGGTAGACAAGACATACACAGAAAGTTAAGCATTATGTGCTACCCTTGAATCATGCTTCTTTACTACAGCAATTTTACTAGAGTTATGTTCAAAGTTAGGCTTTCATAATATGTAAAGTTGAGCATCGTGCTATTCATTCAACTATTTGCATACCTACGCTAGGTGTTAGACACTGTTTTAGAAGCTGGAATACAGTGATTAAGACATACAAGTTCCCTATGGAACCCATACTAGATTTGGTAGGTGTGGTTGGTTATGAACAATTCAGATGCCAAAAAGAAATAGAGGATGGTGATGTATTACCAAATGAAGAAAGAGGGTTAATTGTGGCTGGGTGAACACAGAGGGCCCATCTGAAGTGTTCATGATATCTGAGCTAGGAGCCAACTGATGAAAATTTTTATGAAAAAACTAAGAAGTTATTTGCCTCATATTTCATGAATACATAGTGGAATTTTACTAATATGACACGCTGAATACAGATGCAGATGAGAATCCTGTTATCTTCAATTAAGCCAGACATTAAAGAGCTACAATGAAATGAAAACACTACAATTTTCATTTCATTGAAAAGTTTAATAATATAGTAATTATTTCTTATAATAATACTTATTTTTGTAAAGTTCATTGACACATATTTTTGAGTTTCTCAGTTTTAATTTAGAATAACAGTGTATAACTACAGAAATAACTCTACAATCTAAAGTTCTTTGGAGTCCCCAATACTTTTAAGAAAGTGGGCCTTGAGACTGGAAAGTTTGAGAACACAGGTATTATACTAGTGACTACAGATTTACTTATGGTGTATATAGTAATTATTTTCATGCCAAATGGTACTATGAAGAAATTTTGGTAATTTAGATTTCTATGGCTATACATTTATAATTAACGGATTTCCTTTTCAGCAAGTTACTAGTTCTTAGTGTTATATATAACATGATGAAAAGATATATGGGGTATACAAATGTTAAAAAAATAAAGTGCAAATACTAAACAGCTTTACACCATAGAGCAAAATAGCTCTCATATATGTTGTACTAACACTTTCTAGTAGATTTTGACTCTCTTTAAAGGGCCTTTGTGACACTGACAACTGTAGATTATCTTCCCAGTTGGATCTAATATCAGTATCTCCTTAAACAAATTTGGGAAAAGACCTTCACATCCTACAAATGGATCACTGGGAATTCCAAAAAAAATTGTTCCTGTTAGTAACAAAAATCATTTCCAATGAAAATATTTCCCTTTGGTTTCATGAGTCTTTATTTGCTTTCTCAATTCCCAATATTCTATAATTAGAGCTGGGTAAACTGAACAATAAAGAAGTTAGCTATATGTTGTTAAACATGGTATGAACTCCCTTTTAATGTATCACAAACTCTTACGCCTATCCATGTATGCACGCATACAGATATATGAGCATACACAGACACTCCAATACACAAAACATTTTTAAAACCTGGGAGGACATATATCAAAATGGTAAAGTAGTAATCTCTATGAAGTGGGCTTTTTAGTGAATATTGTTTCCTTTGAATTGTCTTTTACCCCCTAATTTTCTATAGCAAAATATATACTATTTAATGAAAATAAATAAAAAGTTAAAACATAATTTGGCACAATACTGACAAGAATATTACCTAAATCCTTTCTTATCTAGATAACCGATTCTTAACCACAGGAAATTTCCCCCCCCTTGGGAAACCTGACAATGTTCAGAGATACTTTTGGTTGCCTCAACTGCAGGGTGGTACAGTGCACTTGGCAACAAAGAATGTTCTAGTGCAAAATGTCAACAGGGCTGAAGCTGAGAAACCCTATCTACACTGAGCTCAGATAAACTGACTTGGTCTGTGACTTTTCCAGAAAGAAACGAGAAAAAAGTGCTCATGTGAACTCTATACATACCTTTGGAGGAATTATTTTGAATGATTACCCAAGGCAACTTTTAGGGCTAGCAAATATATATTAAATTCTTCGTAACGTGAAAGGCAAGAGAATAAAGCTTTCACAAACTAAATATTTTGATGAATAACTCTTCTCATACATACATATATATATATACACACTATTGGTTCACTCTATAGCTCCTTAAATATAGTGACCAAAACCCTAGTTAATTTCCTAGCAGTTACAGAATGTACTGTCAGAATATCCATTTTAAACAAGAAGAAATTAAAAAGAAGAAATGAAGGACAAAGTAAGATGGAAGGGAAAACAAAACCATTTGTAGCTGCAAATTAAAGCAGAACTACACTCTATAATGTACTTTTCCAGTGGTTAGGATACTTTGGAGTATAAACATTTCTTGAATGGCAAGGAAATTACCCAACTCATGTATATTACATGTTTGAAGAATTTGAAAAGTAATGGATTAGGGAAGTAAAAAGAAATTTTCTTTAATAATGATTTTCCCAAATATTAAAAAAAAACACAAAGTTAAGAACTGTACTTATTTTACAGTAGTGTTTGAAAGAACTTAGAAACCATGATGGCACAGACCACATTATATAATACAGCTTTGCTCCTTGCCAGACACATAGTATGCACATATAGGTAAATTACTTAACTTCAATGGTTCATAAGGTTACTGGGAAAATTATCTCAGAATACATTTAAGTAACTACCAAAAGCACTATTAGAATGGTCCCTAGCACACAGCAAACATCAATAAATGCTGGCCTTAATCAATTAAATGAGCTGAACTTACTAGTATTACACATAGAAGTATCCCCCCCCGCCCCGCCTTCCAATTTACTTACGGGCATTATCCCCTTCTGGAGGTTGATAAAAAGAAAGGCCCAATGATACTATGGCTGCAATTTCTAATATAATTAAAGTGACATCTTGTAATGCTTCCCATACTAATTGAAGAAAGGTTTTTGGCTTTTTAGGAGGTATAAAATTCTTTCCAAACACTGATTCTCTTCTCTCTATATCTGCAGGGTTTCCACTTAAACCTAATAAAAAGAAACAAATTTCAGTGAACAATTTTACTACTTATAAATGAAAATACCTATTTATGCAAAACACATTCATGTTACACTTCAGATACCAATTCATATGACCCTATCAAAATGGTTTATTTTTGTGAGTTCACCCATGTATTCAGAACTTTAATGACTGAAAATTATGGTGGTGCTTTAAAAGTAGATTTTAAGAAGATAACTCAAGACTGGATTCAGAATTCTCACCTTTCTAAATGCTTATTTTTCATCATATTGCCTTGTACCATCTTGTAGACTGCTAGTAACCAGACTATATGACAACTGGATGGTTTTTATACTGGAATTAAATATTTTTCTGACCTTTACCTTTGATGTTTTCCCTCCAAAAATGGAAAAGGTATTTACTTGATCAAATTATTACATGTTGGTTAACTTAATCAGCAGGGAAAAAAAATCTGAGTCTCACTCTTTTACTCGAACAATGGAAAGTTAATCTACCACAAGCTCTAAAACTTCTCTACTAAAATGTCTGTTATATTTGGATTGATAAAAGATTTCCAAGTCACAAAAAAAACGGATACTTCACAGGACCTTTCTTTCAAGTGTTACTTTTAGGGTTAATTTTCAATTGAAGAAATAGGTATTGTTACTGACTAATGGGACCAATTGTTGCTGTAAGGGAAAAGGTACATTACATTGTAGGACAGAATACTTGCTGCTTGGGGTGTGAAATTAGAAGGCTATGAGGGAAGCAGTAAAGATAGAGTGGGGTGAACATCAATTCTGCCTTTTCTTGAGAGTTTTCAAGCAAGTCTTCCTCTGATTTAAACCTGCTGATCCTGTCAAACCTAGATAGAGCCCAATTGGCTAATAAAAAGTATATACACATTTACATTATTGTAGGGTAAGAAATGACAGACAGCAGTGACAAACGACATTTCTCCTTAGTATAAAAGAATGTCAAAGAAGGAAGCAGAGATACCAGGATGAAATGACTTTTAATTTACCATAAATTTACATTCATAATTAACTTAATTAACTTCAATTCTTTTTTTTCCCCGCCAAGAGCTTGTTCTAAGAGAACATCAAAGGAGGGAGACACCAAAACAGCAGATTACTAGAAGGATTTCGGCTTTAAGTGTTTTAGCTATTAATCTCAGTGTGGAGGCAGGGAGGGTAGGGGAAAACGAACAAAGAAAACTTTATTAGAATAAACAATAAGAAATGAATATACAGATTTTAAAGAAATTGTTTACTTTGTTAAAGATACCAAAAAGATTCCAGAGAATTTTCATCAGCAACTATAACAACGTTGGTCCATACTGAGCAGTTTGGAGGGCACTTGAATGAAGTGTCAACTGACAGCTTCTACAGAACTCTAGGCTTTGAGACAGTCAATGGAAAGAAAGGCAGTGAAGGATTGTAGTCCTTGTGATTGGGGGGAAAGACAATATGAGAGATGAAACTTGCAAACTGCAGTTTAAAATCTACACAGTACAGCAATGTTTCCCAACAATAACTGGCTGCAACAAGTTAACCCCAGTCCATGGTTTAACTAGAGGATAGGGGAATCAATGAGGGAGGTTTTTTGCAAAACAAAAATTTGTTTTAGAGCTAAACGTTGAGATGTTCTGAGATCATGTGCTTACTGTTTTTCAAGTTAAATGTCCTTTCTGTCATGGAAAGATGGTATTCAACTAAGTTTGCTTTGTCTTGTACTTTAATGTCCTTACTAGCAAAAATAAAAGATCACTATCCCTCCCTGTGTCGGTCTCCAATTTTTTCTAAGAAATTTGAAGATACTGGTTCTCTGTTTAACTCACACTTACTAGAGCCTACATATGTATAAAAACCACTTGGTAGTTTTCAATATCACCACTGTAACTACAAGAATAGATGATCACATTTTAACTTATATTGATTATAAGAGGGGCCAGTATTTTATGTTAATGTTGAAGAGAACAGCCATAAAGCTAAAGATAGCTTAAAATGATATCTTGGAGGAAACTAGAGAAGTAAAAAAGCAGCTAGTCCTGGAAGTTACTATAATTCTTCTGCACTACCACCACACACACAAGTACACACCCAAGACACAATACCAATAAAGTGGTCTGGTTTAGGAACCAGAAGTCCTACGTTCCAGGTCAGTTACTGAAATATTGTTCTGAAGTCAACCTCTTTGGAAGGTCTAACGGGGAGATATTTGTTGGTGTAACGTATGAGACTGTTTTGGAAAAAACAAAGGAAAGGGTACAGAGCATGTAAATCATAAAAGTATAGGGTAATGGTTATTCAACAAAGAACAGGGAAGACGAGTTATAAACTGAACACTACACAGGTTTTAACTCCTTTTGGGGGCAATTAATTTCTACCAATATAAATAATAAACTTACATAGTCTAAATATAATAGAGCTAAGAGTTTTAGTTTAACAAAAATTTGTTCTCTACCAGATAGTCATTGAACATTTACTACTTTGAGGGACTGTTCTATGTGCTGAGGTATCAAGTGTGAAAAAGACAAGTCCATATTGAACAAGCTTATATTATAAGACAAATATATGGAGAGAGGATTGGCATTTATTCTAAGCACAATGGAAACCACTGGAAAGTTTTAAAGCAAGGTAGTATAACTAATCTCATTTAAATGGTTGTATGAAGGATAAACTGAAGAAGGCAAAGACCCACTGGAGGCTGTTGCAGTACACAGTAAGAGACAATGGTGGCTTGTATCTGGGTTTTAGTAGTAGAGACGGTGACTGGATATTCCAGGAATTTTTTAAGATCAGACAGAACCTGCTGAAGGACTGGACTGGCTGAAAGAGAAAGAGAACGAAGAATGAGATCTAGATTTCTTGTGCACATACTCAAGTGGACAGATGCAGATTTACCAAGTTAGAGCAAGCTTTGGAAACTGCAGAATTGTGTGGAAAAAGGGAGGTAGGAGTGAATGCAATCATCAACATACAGATGATTTTGGAGGACATAATGACCTTGGAGCCATGTGCAGGTCCCACTTGAGCCCCTTGTGCTATTTCAGTGAATATTATTCTTTTTGATTCACTAAGTCTCCTTTTGGATTTGAGCTCTCTTTGCCTGACCTCTACAACTGTATTTGAGGTCTCATTTTGTGAAGGCATCACCCTTTTAATATTTCCTTGCTTTCTGAAGTTTTGCTTCACAGAACGGGATCCTTAAAATCCAGAGAGTTAAGGGTGCTACCTTCTGGCATACCTGTGTGTTTTATGTGTAGAAACTATGGCTCTGAAAGATGTAATATCTACAAAGATGGCACAATCTTACTACAGACAATCTAGAATTACAATGGCTGTTACAAGGAACGTTCCCATTAGGAAAGATCTTTTAAGCATCTAAAAGCAAGGGATTCCAAATCAAACTGAATGGAATATCTGTTTTAATTGGTATACAGAAGCCTAAAAGGCTTCAAAATTCCAAAAATAGCTTTATTGAAAGATTTGTTGTAAAAGGTAAATAAAAGATATGAGATATCTTAAAAAAAGACAGTAAGATGATGTAACTCCTACTGTTCCCCTCTATACTTTCTTTGAGTACTCATTCTAGTAATCCTTTGTTTGAACTGCGTTTCCACTCTGAAGAGATTATTGAACAGTTTAAAATAAGACCACCTGACGCTACAGGCAATTCTCTTCAGTATCTTTCACTCAGTTGAGGGGGGAAAAAAAAGTGATTTCATCCTAAAGTGAAGCTGGTTCTGTAATGTTTTGCTTTTCCTGATTTTAGGAAATCTTTTTCTCTTTTCTCTTAAGGCACTGACAATTTGCTAAGACATACCTTTGTGAACAAAGATAAAACATTACTTTTTCTTCCGACCAGATCTCTCCAAAATCTAAAACTCTTAATAAGAGTTCTTATTGTCATGACAATATAGTCATTTGCATGAGTTCAATAACAATCTGTTCACCTTATAACAGAATACAAATAGAAACACTGGTTATACTATCAAAACGTTCACTAGAATATCATATTTGAGAGAGATGTGCAGAGACTTAGTTTTAAGGAATTAAGGTTGACTTTACAGAACCAATAAAGCTCCTTGGAAAAACTGGTCTGGTACCTTGCTTGCAAGATTCCAGAAGAGCAGTCTAAAAAAAGCACGTATGGTCGACTGCTATTCTTGCTACACTTAGGTAAATAATCAGGCATAATTTAATACAAACAAATTAGTTTTACCATATAAAATGAGGGTAATTGTAGAGGGAAGAAATTATGCTTATACCTTTATATTAGAGTCTAATCCTGTTAATTTTGAGTTTCTGTTATACACCTGTAAATTTGGACTGGATCCTGAATTCTTCTGTCTCCTTAAAAATCTAAGACTCCCAACTAGCATTTCCAATTTTCTCTCACCCTTTTGATTTAGAATCAGTAAGAACAAAGACTGCCCCTAAATCTCCTTGGAAGGGACTTAAACCTTGGATATGCATCTCAGAGCTGAAGAACGCTCCCCCTGTTATCTGGTCCTACACAAGTGTTAAAGACCTCCAAATCAAACTCATCAAGAGAAGGCGCTGACACTGGGGCAGACTGCTTCCTCCCCAAGACACCAGATCAAGACTTCATACTTTAACCAAACATGAAACCCCCTTTTCTTCACTTTCTTTCCTTTACTCTGGTATTGGCCTGGAAATAATTTCTCCCAAGCCATTGCTCAGGGCTTGGGAAGGCTGGGAGAAAACACACAACCTTTGCCTTAGTGGGAGTGATTTGTGTCCCAACAGGATTTATCTTTGAGTGGTTATCATTCTTCTTGGGCCTACAGATGTAGATAGCTGGCTCACAGCAAGGCAGTATTCTTTAGGCTATCTAACTATGCCCCTAATTGTCCACACATGAACTAAGACACCTACTGGTTGACTTCCCAGGATCTACACTGTCCAGTTAGAAAGGCCCTGTCAGGAAACTTTCATGATTCAGGCTGCACTTCCTTTGGCAGGGCCACACTTCCCTGGTTAGGAACAAATGTGAATGAGAA